AATCATTGAATTGAGAAGGTTTATATTGTTGCATTCATGTTGTCTAAATCCTGTATGATAGAATATACAGGTGTTGATTGAAATTGTCCTGACATTTTTGATAGTAGTCAGTATGTCTGTCGAAAAAAGTGTCTCCACCACTGACTGTGATTTATTTACCTTCTCCTATAGAAGACGACTCCAATCACTGCAGCTATGATGATTAAAATCAGGGATATAGCTGACACTGCGGCGATCAATGGCCAAGAACTTGATCCTGTGGATGTAGGAACATTTGAAGCTCATAAAAATGTATTACGTAGATTATACAACTGAATGTACGGTAGATATAAACTGAACAAGTGGTCTTTGTGGCTCTAACCTTTCACAGTCAGCTGGACTGTGCTGGCTCGTTGCTTTTCAAGCCAGTAGACGGCGGTACAGGTAAGGCTCATGACTCCGTCTCCTCCAGCAGCTATGAAGGTTATTGTGGAGGTCGTCTCCCACACACCCGGTGTCGTCATGGTGCTTTGGACCTTGCTGGTGATGTTGGGGACACTCCATGAGAAAACTGGAGGATGTGACGCACATGTGTGGGCCACAGAGCACGAGACATTAATTGTTAAGCCTGCATCCACTTCTGCTGGAACGGGGGTCATCACAGGTTTTTCTGGGGATGCTGAGCACATGAAACACAGAGCAGATTACTTTTGTCGATTAGAAGGCAAACACAAACATAGCTTGGGATATTTAAATAATCTGAAGAATAAGTATTAATTCCAAACCTTTCATAACAATAAATACACAGCTATTGTTGTATTTGTGTCTCTCATGTCCTATCTCTGCATGGAAACAAAAGGGCCCGTTGTCAAAAGGCCTGATGTCATCAATCTCTAATGAGCAGTCTCCGTGACTCAGATCTTTTTTCATTTTGGTGCGGCCCTTGAAATGGTCAATCACTTTGCTCTGGGCATTATGGTAGATGGTATCCCCAGTCTTTTTGGACCAGATGCCACGTGTGATAGGCACCTCTTGGTACGGGAGGCTGCAGGGAATCACCACGCAGGAGCGGGTCAGTGCATTGAATCTGAAAGGGACTTTTACAGCCTGAACGTAGAGCGCTGCAAAGAGAGAAACAAGCCATAATGGGATGCCTGTGGAAATCAGTCTGCTTGTGATTTAAAATGGGAGCAAGATACATTTTTTAAAAGGAGAATGGAGATGTACACCCACTGTCATTTTCATGTGGATCAATTGGTCTCTCATATTCTGGAAAGAAAAACAAAACAAACAGACAATCATCAATTAAACGTTCTTCAAATGGTATATTCTTAATTGCTTTATGGTTATAGGAGAAGATTGAAACATCTACTATATAAGTGACTGCTGTTTATGAAATGTAAAACCTCACTTTTTATGTGAAGGATGGCAGAGTCTGAAGTCTCCCCAGTAAGAAATGTAGCAGTGCAGTTCAGAGGTTTACCATTGTCCCCAAGAGAACCAATAAAGGTTAGATTTGACAAAGTCTCATAGGTGTTGTTGGAGATGAATTTGGTTTTGAGATAACTCTGCAAGTCTTCAAAATTCCACCCAATGCTCGGTTTATTTTTCCTACACTTGTAGGAAACAGAACAGACGACACTCTTTGCCACACCCTCCGTCGCCTCGATTAGCCGCTCAGTCATTGTGATTTGGTCATATGGACCTGGGCAGAAACGTCAAAGTCAGTCTTAACAATAAAGATTTTGTAAAACACTTAACACATGGTCTCACATTGTACTCACATTCAACATTTAGCTTGAGCTCACTTGTGGCTTCCTGGCCACCGCGGTACCTCACAGTACACCTCACACTTTGATCCTCCTCTTTTACAGCCCAAGTATGCTCAGCAGTCCTTTCCCAAATCCAATCAGACACTAGAGTATCCCCAATGACATTTGTTGCAGGTATACCATTGAGGATCAGTTCGGGGGGAGCAGAGGCACATGTATGGCGCACACTGCAGGTTATTGTGCTCTCCTCTCCCACCCTGGGGATACCAATGATGCTCAACTGCGGTTCCTGTGCTTGATCTATGATATCAAATCAAGAAAAGATATTTGGACAACTGCCTTCATTGGAGATCGGATAACATGGAATAAACAGGGAGAGAAAGTATCCAGATAGTTACCTGAAACAATAAGTTGACAGGTTTTGTCATTAAACGAGTGACCCAGGCTGTGGTACGAGGTGATGGGGTTCTTGTCTACCCATGGGTAAAGTCGGTCCTGGTTGTGCGACATGTCAAGCCTCTCGATCTTAAGACTACAATTCCCTTCCCGCACAGATGGAATCAAGCTGGTTATGCCCTGATACTTACTAATAACATTCCTTCTTTCTTCATATACAGACGGGTACCCATTGCTTTGGTACAAGTACCATGCAACTTTGAGGTCTGCAGGCTGGGAGATACTGTAGGTGAACGTGCAAGGAATGACAATACATGAGCCTTTCATGCCAGTGATGCTGTTGGGCGTGGTGAAAGACCAGCCGAGAGAGAGCATGTTTCCTGTCAAAAGAGGAAACATTTGACAGCTGAAATTCACTTTATAAATAATTCAAATTATGAGTTGGCTTCCTACTAAGATCTTTTTTTTTTTTTTTTAAAGGTAATCTATGACTATAAAATAACTTTTATTTCTCTATATTATTTTCTAAGTTCTTCCTTTATCTATTGATATTCCCTTCAACTATCTTTGTACATACCATGCTGGAAACAATCAATGTTAGATTTGATGGTCAAATGATATTTAATTTTCTAGGATCGTTATTTTTTATAGTGACAGAGATAAATATAGACACTGCAGCAGTTATAGAGAGTTCACAAAATGTGATGGGTAAATTCAATTTTATCAATGAATTGAATTTAAACCAACATTTGTGCAGATGATATGCAGGGCAGTTCATGCCTATCACGGATGAAAAGACAGTTATCATTTCTACTCACTCTTCACACGTAAGGTGATGCTCTTTTCCTGCATCTGCCCCCTGATAAATCGTGCATAGCATGTCAGAGATCGTCCGTGGTCGTTGGATGATGCTGTGAATGTCAGAGTGGAGACAGTCCTCCAGCTAGCGATTCCACTCTTGCTGTTTTCAGTGGTGGTTGGCATGTTACCATAGTTCCATGAGAGAGTTGGTAAATGTTTTGGGCACGTGTATGAGGCAGTGCAGGTGACTGTTCTTGGCTGTCCCTCAAGAAATGTGTTTGATGTCTGACTGATAGTCAAGGGGAGAAAGGAGCCTGAGAAACAAATGGTAATTGTTAAAATGTTCAAGGCCAACATACATTTTTTTTTTAAATATTGCATATTCATAACGTACATTCTGCAGTCAAAGGTTTAGTAGCTCTTGCAGTTTGACCGCTCACGTGTCGGACGGAGCACTCCACAGTTTGGTGGTCCCTATCTATGTTCAATGTGGTGGTCAAGGTGGTTCTGGATGTGCCATCAGTCATGGATACATGAGCTAGACTGTGGCTTTGCAGTGGGATGTTGAGACTTAGAGTTGGTGGATAAGTGGAACAGGTGTGGTAAACATAGCACTGCACGGTCACAGACTGTCCAACCTTCATGCTTCCAGAGATCATAATATACGGTGTTGCTGCCCAGTCTTTACAAAAGAAATGATAAGAATAATACATTTAGATACACATTATGTAAAACTAATCTTTTTTAAAGCAAACTTAATACTTACCCACTACTTCAATTGTCACAGTTGTATCATAGAATCTGAAGGTGGTTTTCCCAACATTCTCTGGATCTACCCATGGGTAAAGCTTCTGTTGGTGGTGATACTGATTTACTGGATAGATTTCAAGAGTGCATGTCTTCTTGTATTTAGAAGTAAATACATGCGTTCTTCCTTTGAATATGTTAATGACGTAATCTTTGTACCAATTGTCATAAACTAACGGGTATCCCTGGTTTTTGTACTGATACCAAACCACACGATCTGGTCTTAGAGGCGGATACTCGTAGTAGTCAAAGGTGCAAGGGATGACAAGGCAGGAACCCGACAATCCTTTGATATTTCTTGGCATCTTTACATGCCAAGCCCACAAACCCTGGAAAAAAATATATCCTGCAAGAGATATAATATACAAAAGGGACATTTCATTTTTTTTTAAGATGATGACATTTTGAATTTTTTTTAAAAGACTGAATTTATTTTATTACCTAAAATACCGAAGCTCAGAAGAGAATGTCGGAACCCAGACATCTTGTTAATGTTAAGAAACACCTAAATGTGAAATAATCTTTTAGTATTATGCATTGAAAAAGAGAATACATCTGTCCATCTTTTTCATATAGGGCACATCAGACATGTCATTTAAACGAGTGACCCAGGCTCAAATGTAAAGCGATTCTTAAACCATTTATCATTTCATTTCCATAAAGTTGATGAACTTAGATGGGAATCATAGTTCTCAAAAACCTCATTGAAATAGAGGCATGTAGACGCGAAGCACACATTTCCTGTGTTGTATGTTTCAAGCTCAAGAAAATTCAAGATGGTGAATCTCCGGTGATGCATGAGGATCTTTTAAGGACCTCGCCCATTTTTTCTGCCAACCTTAAGGCTTTTCAACAGAACAGGATTTTGGATAGACACTAAAAACAACAACAACAAAACCTGCATGTTAAAGCCTGGGTGTCTGTTCAAGTGTCATGTAATGTAATTAATTGAATGGTAACATAATACCAGTGTCTCTCTGATCCAAAACATCTCTCATATCTCTTTCAGCTGTTTATGGATTCATTTTTAATATTAAACAAAGAAAACATAATAATATACACTGAAAAAAGAGGGCAGAAAGACAAGAAACTTGGAGACAAAAAATGTATCCATTCTTATTACTCAATGAGATACATGGTTTGCCATAGTTAAGTAATATAAAACGCAACAACAACAAAAAAAACACATCATGTTGTTTCTAAGCAAGAAGTAAATATTTTAATATACTGAGGTAATAACTTCTCTTATTCAGTAAAGGTTTTTATTTTTCTAAATGTAGGCCAGCTTGTTAACATGCAGCAGTATTACAACGCTCAACAAGATAGTCCTTCTTCAGAGAATAATATTCTCGAAACCAGGTTCCAAAGCTAAATGATCCCTAATGAAATGCTTTTTGGTGTTTAAAAAAAAAAATACGTTCCCCCCACAGGAATCACAATGTACTAATGAGACAAAATTGTAAATTGTAAACAGACATTTTAACAAGTTGTACCCTCTACTTAAATAATGTCAAACATAAATCAAAGTCGCTCCTAATTTCAGCCAGAAAATACATTTTGAAGAAGCCATAAAAATGATTACAAAGAAAAGATATATCAAGGTTTTCTGATACATTATTTAGAAACTTAGTACTTGAATAAGGTATAATACTAATCTAAATTGTAAAATGCAGCAAAGGAAAGCATCTTATACAATTTCTTAAAGATCAGAAGGACTTACCTCCAGAGTTGAATGTTAATAAAGAGTCTAGCCCTAAAAGTCCCTAACCACTGATCATTTCAAGAAACCTCCCCCTTAAAAGTGGGCGGAGGGTACAATTTCCAAACCAAAAGGAGAACAAACTGTTATATATATTGACCAACTCTATATACAGTATATAGGCATAAGCATTTTCCTGTTTTTAACTTGTTTTTTCTTTTTAAGTTATGATTTTTCCTATGTATGGGTTTCAACCTTTTAAATCCTAGAATTTCCCATTTCTTCTCATGTTAAATACAGCAGGCATATTGGAGTGAATGAAAGTGCATTATGTATTTAAATTATCTAAAACAATTGTTTGACAACTTTTTTCAAAATGCATTTTATTTTTATCCCATTATAATGATCGAATTAGCAAACAGAATTCTATACATTTTGCCCGATAGAAGAGGACGCCACAATAATCATGTATAATATGACTGTGGTCATCAGATGCTCTTAATACGAATGATCACTATGGGAGTGATTTGTTTTTCTCCGTGCTTGTTTCAGATGTTTCCATAGGTGCTGAGGTCCGCACTGTTCTCGTAAACATCACCACCATCAAAGTCCTGTCAGAGATTTAGGTTATTATTGTCACAGATGTTGATAGTGCTGTATGTAATTCTTGTGAACAATAATTGTTTAATAGTACCTCCTCTTGGTGATTGTAGGATTTTGGCTGGCTGAGGAGTGATAAAAAGAAGACAGAAAAAGAATGACATCAGACATTGAACTAAATAATGACTGTATATATGAATCATTTAATCAACTGCTCAGGATCAAGAGCCAAGTACCTTTTGGGGGACGGGAAACGAGGTTTGGAGACTTTCTGGTAATCACAGTATTTGGAATTCAGATTTTTTGGACTGAGGATTAAAATTCATGTCACAACAGAGTTCAGAAACCAATGATCAGCTAATTAATTCTGTTATGTTTAACACACTTACATATGACTCATATCCACTATGTCTGCTTTAGGCCTTCTGTTATAGAAACAAATTGCAAAATGTAAACTTTAATCAGAAAATAAAACACAGATTCTATGTAATAGATATGTGGTAGGGAAGAAAAAAGTGAAGTGAAGACTTATCAACTTATCAGTGGAGGCAGGCATGTTACAGAAATAGTTTTTATGTCTTACCTCAAAAATCTGCTCCACGTAGACCTTCTGCACAAAAAAGAAGAACAGAAACTATGCAAATGTTGTCAGGCATATAAATAAAAGCATAGATCTGATCAAGAATGCCGAAAAAGCCCTCAACTTCTGCAAAACATGCAAATTACAGTAATGCCAACCACCCAGTTTTACAGGGTGGAGATAACAGAACTTTAATAATGTGGAGTGTTTATTGAAATAAAGACCTTTGATCAGAACGAGATGGTCCTGGGCCATCAGAACGAATCCTGAAAATGGTACCAATAAAATGACTCATCAGCACAAATTAAAAGTTCCTGTGATAACAGTTTTTGATAAAAAAGCCAAATAATTATAAACATTTTTTCTCACCTGCGAGACATCCTGGACAGCCGATTCCACACGCTAGATATTAAACAGAAAATTCCATTAGAAGAATGAAGGACCAAGTGACATTTGTGATATAAATGTAGCTGTATGCAATGGATCTGCTTTAAAATATATTCACCTTCCATCCCCTCTTTGGAGCGCTGCAATTTGTCTCCTTGAGTCGATAGAAAACAATGTCATATTATTGAGGAGCACATACATTGAACATTAAGCATAGAGACATGAGCAAGAATGTTTTAAATAAAAAATGTAATTACTTATCTGTTATTTGTCAGTGTTCTGCAATACTCACTTGTATCTCTTCACCATTAAAACGCAGAAGACTGCAAAGATCACAGCGGTTCCAATCGCCACCACTGTGGGAATGATGATGTGGTTATAGTTTTTTGAACCTGCAAATAAACGGATCCAATGTTATGTCACCTTTCTCTTTCCCACGTGGAAAGAGGACAACATTCAGTTGATAAATGCAGAACAACCTCGATATTTACAAGATCTCACGTTTTACATAGAGTGTCAACATTGCAGAGGACGTCTTCGGTCCGTTGAAGTTGGCGGTGCAGGTGATATCAGTGTGGTCGTCCTTCTCCTCAGGAATGATGGTCAGGATGGACTCAACCTCCCAGTTGCCCAAATGTGTTTCTTTGTGGACAACATTCGGCACATCTGCAGTGGCCCTGCTCCATGTGAGTTTAGGTGGGTCGTAAGGGCAGGTGTGTTTGACGGAACAGGTGACAGTGTAGGGACGTCCTTGATAGGCCGTCTTTAGGTGATGTAGTTTAGGTTTCGGGGGATCAGCTGTAAAGGAAAAAAGTCAGAGATTAGAGAGAACATATGGAAATGGTTCTTTATAAATGTCTGAAATATGGTAAAGTTGGTGACCTACGGAGCATTTTGAACTCAACACAGTCCTCCAGAAAGGAGAACTTTTCAGGATCGGATGTAACAGTCCTTTGTGCTAATTCGATTCGGAAACAAAAAGGGCCGTTGTCGTGATCCTTGATCTTAGACATTTCTAAGGTGCAGTTTTTCTGACCCAGATGTCCCAACAACTTTGTCCGTCCCCTGAAGTTTTCCGAGATACTTGTTTCATCCTCGTCGTAAATGAGATCGCCTCGATTATTGGACTGATGCCAGATCCCCCTGAGCTTGGAGGTAGGCAGGTTTGGTCCAGGATGGGTGAATGAACAGGGAACAACAACACAGGATGTGACCAGTGCCTTGAGCTCTTTTACAACATTGGCTTTCCATTCTCCAGTAAACACAGGGATGCATATAGCTGAAAGACAGTTATAGAAGTAACACAATAATGAATTATTTCTAGGAGGTCTCTCTGACATATTTTATATAAGTGGGGTGCATGAATGAAAGAGATTTGAAACAAAGAGTTGAGTGACTTATATTACCTGCCAAAAGCAGACAGTATATCATCAACCTTCTGTCTTTTTCCATACTTCTCTGAGGTTTTTGTGGTATAATACACTGTAAAATGTTTAAACAAAAATATACACAAAGAATGAAATCATAAATCATACCTAATAATGCCATATGCAAATTACAACGCAGGTATGTGAAACTTCTTCAAACAACACATCTATGGGAATAGGTTGGGTCTTTTCTAGTTATTCTTTTATTCATTTAAGTCCAACAAGCTCGAACAAACAATGATGATGATATATTATAGTGAAACATCCTGTGGTTGGGTCTATACGAAGCAAACACCCAGTATTGCTCAGCTGCATTATTCTTGATTTATTGTGTACTATAAACATTACAAATGGCATTTTTAACGTAAATGTAGTAACACATCATTTATTGGATGCACTGTTATTAGGCATAAGAGTTCTCACCTGATGAAGCTGAGAGTTGTCTGTCCTTTAAAATCCTCCCTGACGACAGTCTGTGTGCTGTTCTGTAGTAAAGCTGACAAAGATAGGAACTCTAGAGGCAGCAGAAAACGTGTAGACCACATTAGGGTGTGTCTTCAGAAAAGCAATATCATCTCAGCCAAAAAAAAACTATTTATTTCTTTATCATATTTAAAATGTTTCCCCAAGAGCAGTCAACATGCACCCATTCTAAATTGTATTGGGCGACAAATCAATCGGCAACATGCACAAGCTGTTTCCTGTACCTTGATTTAAACAGAAAACAAAGTTTTGTACTTCTATATGTCAGCAACTACATATGCGGAACAAGTTACTTTTTGATGAATTCATAAAAAATGCAGTACATCCGACTATAAACTAATGATAACCAACTTTGTGAAATGCAGGAAAAAGGAAAGGTTATTTTATATACCTTTTCTTAAAGATCAGAGTAACTTACCTTGAGAGTTGAATGTTTTCTAAAGAAATGTCCCTCCTTGGAAGTCCATAACCACCCATAATGTAAAGAGACCTCCCTCTTAAATGTGGGTGGAGGGTAGAATCAGAAATACTGCAAATGTTGTTGGTTCTGCAATCCAGCAACATGGATGTATGTGAAACAATGACTCTTCTTATGGTGAAAATATGGTCTGTTAGTCTATATCATGTCAGTGTAGACACTTTGCTGATGAAGGTTTTCCACACCTGCACCTCAAGTCATAAACTGCACTTAAATTAGTAGAGATTTAAAAAAATTAAAAAAGGAAAACCCAGCTTTCAGAGGCGTGGGAAGGGGGGTGCTGAGGGCGCTGCAGCACCCCCTAGCGGCATGCAGGCGAAGCTCCTCTGCCTGCAAATTATTATTTTTAATTTTTATTTTATTTCATTTCATCTCAGGGGGCCGGGCCCGAGGGCGAAGACCGCGGCTCTCAGGGGGCCGGGCAGGAAGGTGCTGACGGGACAACGCCGGAGGCCGGTGGGACAGGCCTCGGCAGAATCCCCCACGGAAGAGGACCAGGAGCCGGCAGGACCCCCGGCAGGAGGGCAGTCGGCGGGACCCCCAACGGGACAGGACACGGGATTGGCAGGATCCCCGGCAGGAGAGCAGCCGGCGGGACCTCCCCCAGGACAGGACACAGGGTTGGCAGGACCCCCGGCAGAAGCGCAGTCGGCGGGACCCACAACGGGACAGGACATAGGGTTGGCAGGAACCCCGGCAGGAGAGTAGTCGGCGGGACCTCCAACGGGACTGGACATGGAGCCGACAGGACCCCCAGTGGAACCTCCATCGGCACAGGACATAGGGTTGGCAGGACCCCCGGCAGCAGACCAGTCGGCGGGACCCCCAACGGGACAGGACATAGGGTTGGCAGGACCCCCGGCAAAAGAGTAGTCGGCGGGACCCCCAACGGGACGGGACATAGGGTTGGCAGGACCCCCGGCAGGAGAGTAGTCGGCGGGACCTCCAACGGGACAGGACATAGGGTTGGCAGGACCCCCGGCAGGAGAGTAGTCGGCGGGACCCCCAACGGTACAAGACATGGAGTTGGCAGGACCCCCCAGCGGAACCTCCAACGGCACTTCAGTAGGGACTTGAATTGGGACTTGAGTAGGAACTTGAGTTGGGACCATGGCTGCTGGGACCGGTACTTGAGCCGGAACCACGGCTGGAACTGGGGCCGGCACCATGGTTGTATGGGCCGGTTCTGGAGCTGGAACCATGGCTGTGGATACCAGAACTGAAGCCTGGATCATGGCTGTTGGAGCCGGTTCTGGAGACGGACCCATGGCTGTGTGGGCTGGTTCTGGAGACGGAACCATGGCTGAGGGGACCGGAACTGAAGCCTGGATCATGGCTGTAAGGTCCGGTTCTGGAGCCGGAAACATGGCTATATGGGCCGGCTCTGGAGCCAAATCCATGGCTGCCGGGACCGGTTCTGGAGCAAGGACCATGGCTGCTGGGGCCAGAACTGGGTCTGTAACCATGGCTGCTGGGGGCTGAACTGATTCTGGAACCATGGCCCTTTGGGCTCGTGCTGCTAACCTGGCCTTGCAACTAGAGATGTCCGATGATCGGGAATTTAAAAAAAAATAAAAAAATTTATAAAATATTTTTATTATTTTATTTAATGTTACAAAACAAAAATGACCATGTTCACGTCTTAAAGTCATCCTGAGGACTTGGTTTTGGTTTAAAATTACACAACATCATGTATGTGTTGCTTCTTTTGGGCTTGTTTTCAGACCTGGTTGCTTATTTCTCTCAAATCTGGCAACAGAGTGGGCGCAGTGTCTAATAGTAGCAGTAAGCTAACGAGAGGCTACGTTCAGCTGGTGACTCGGGAGTCGGGACAGAGAAAATGTCAGGAGTTTGGAAGTATTATAAAATTGAAAGCGAAGGCAGTGTAACAACCAGATGCAATGTTTGCAAGGCGGAGGTTCCGCGTGGTGGAAAGAACAGAGCTACGTTCAACACGACCAATCTAATACGCTACCTGAGAAACAAACACCAACAACATGACGAGTACACAGCGGCCACTCAGGTAACGGCACTGAAACAACCGACACTTTCAGAGACTTTTAAAACGAAAGAGAAACTGCCCCAGAACAGTGAAAAGGCCAAAAAAATAACAGCCAAGATAGCTGAATTCATCGCGTTGGATGACCAGCCGTTATCTGTTACCTTTTTTTTCTCTTAATGCATTGCATAAAGATCGGATCGGGAAAAATCAGTATCGGCAGATTGTCAAAATCAAATGATCGGAATCGGATCGGGAGCAAAAAAAAGGTGATCGGGACATCCCTACTTGCGACTCCTTTTAGGAGCCGTTTGGAGGCTCCGTGGACCTCCAAAAGCCAGACGAGTACCAGCGAATGGCTCCTGGACTGTAGCAAACACTGGGTGAGAAGCAGGGGCTGACGCCAGACGGACCACACCGATGCGTGTGGTATCAAAAAGGGAATTGGGAGACTTGGGTCTATCAGGATCGGGAAAACAAACCGTGAGGTAATCCAAAAGCCAGGCAGGTAAGAATGTAACCAAATCTTGATTCTTCATCGTAAGGTGGAATGCATCTGCCAGAGCATCATCTCGCTGCTGAACCCTGACCGCTCCTATCCATCGATGAGCGCAGTCAGACAAAGAAAAGGTATAATCCAATAGTTCCTGGCTGCTCAAGCGAATCTATCTCTTCGATTTACACACGGCATCTATTGCACGTCTGTCCGTCCTGGGAGAGGGATCCCTCCTCTGTTGCTCTCCCTGAGGTTTCTCCCATTTGTTCCCCTTAAACTGTGGGTTTTCTCTGGAAGTTTTTCCTTGTACGATGTGAGGGTCTAAGGATAGAGGGTGTCGTTTTTCTCATACTGATATTCTGAACAATCTGTGCTGTTGTATTTGCTGTAAAGTGTCTCTACTGTAGGCTATTTTTATGTTATGTACAGCACTTTGGCTCGACCAAAAATCGTTTATAAATGTGCTATATAAATAAAACTTGATTTGATTTGATGTACGTCGTCCATGGAATTCTTCACAGTCACAGTTCCGTCAGTGGCAATTAGTCAGCTGACACAAGTGAGCTCCTTTTTGCATTAGGGTTGGGTTCTCTCATTGTGTGCGAGCTAAAAGTAAATATAATTACACTGGGTGGATCCCTTTATGAAATCCTACAGTTAGTGACTCTATAACAGGAATGAAGGTGTGGTCTTGAAGTCAACTCCTTCTCATGAGCACTACTTAATGCCATACCATCCAACCTAGAGTCAGAGTCAGATTAACCCTGCCATCACAAAAATGCATCTCATTACACTAATCCTTGGGACTGTGCTTCTCCATCAAGGTACGTTTGTTTATCCTTTTAAGCTTCTTTTTTTTTATTCTTAGAAAAAAACAAGTAGTGTAGTTTTATTTTTGTATTTTTTCTTTTACCTCACTTACCTTTACTATTGTTTTAACATACATGGGCCACTTGTTACATGCCATATAACAATTGTGTCTGTCAATATCCTACTAGCTATTTTCCTGTTGGTTCGATTTGCACGTTATTGCTATATTCTTTGTTCATTACCTGTTTGTACACAGATTACAACACAAACATTTCCCAAATTGGGATCAATAAAGTACTATCTTATTTTATTCTCTTATTATATTTTCTTTTTTATTGTAGATGTAAAACAAACAAGTCAGAACTGTGCTTGACATCCAACGTCACACTTTTTTATTTCTGTTGCTGTGGTGTTGAAATTATTTTGTCCATTCCTTGTAAAAGAGTTGTTGGATATTTATTTTGACCTTTCTGTGTGTTTTTTGTTTTCTCAGCATACAGCCTGGAATGTCATTGTTCACAAGGTAGCGGCTGCACAAATTCAAAAATAGAATGCCCCTCTGGACAGAGCTGCAGTTCAGAAAGACACGTCTCCTATTCAGGTAATTTTGGTGCCTTTTTTAATTTTGAAACTGCTTTGTGGGATTCTGCCTTATTTACAAAGATAACACTTCCTCTCGATTGCAGATGGCTCAAATGTCTACGATGTCAACTTTAAAGGTTGTGCTTTGCCTGAACGGTGTGTTAATCGCTCACTGAACCTCGGGCTCATCCAAACTTTAATTTCCAGCTCGTGTTGCACCACCAAACTCTGCAACTCCGCAAATGCCCCTGGTAATTTACTTTTATTCACTGTTGGTATTTCAGAATGTTCTTTGAGAGCTGTTCTCATTTAAAATTGGCTTATTGTTGCAAAATTGTTTAAAATGTAAAACAATTAGTGGTTGTTGCATTTTTCAGATGTCAAAAGAAAACTTTTTAATGTATGTATTGATTATTGATGCCAGTTCTGTATCAGAATATAAGACAACATGTTTGAAGAGGATTGTGTTAGAGAAGACAAACCAGTTTGAGGAAAATAACCTGTTTCAACTGCTTTGATATTGTGCCAGTAATAGTCTTGATATCAAATTACCTTCTCTAAAAACATAATTCTTTACAAAAGTTTTGAAAAAAACACCAAATAATAAAAAAAAGTGCATTGCAGTCACCTCTTAGCCACATTTTACATCCCCTAATGTGAACAATGTTTTATGTTTCAGAACCTGTCCAATCTCAACCAAATGGTAAATCATGCTTCTCGTGCGTAGGACAATCGTGCACCTCGTCCCTAGCCTGCACGGGGAATCAGGACTTCTGTTACTCAGCGTCAGGTAACAGGCCCGCAGCATTGAAATCTAACCCTGTTCCACACATTTCCTCTGCGCAGAGCAATGCGAGGTGATTATAATAGATGCAATCCAACTTGATTTCTAACATTATTCTTTGTTGTTCTTTCAGTGACTGTGGATGGTCAATATATTCCGGTGAGGGGGTGTGTCCCTAAGGAGATGTGCCAAGGGCATAGCAGCTGCTGTGAGGGGGACCTTTGCAACAGCGCCAGCAGCACCAGCGCTGGCCTTCTGCTCATCATGGCACCGCTGCTGTCTCTGGGCCTGCTCTCATAACACTTTGATGACTCATTATCTTATTATCTTTGCATGGCCTCATAGTGCTCACCCCCCTGCCCTTATCCTTTCAACCGATGAGTGAGAACGTTTAATGCAAAGCATACCGAATTTAGTAACATTGTGATTTCCTATTTATCCCTTGACCCTTGCCTCATGTATTAAACTGGCCTATTTGCTTTTTGTATCCCTATTGCCTACGGTGACACTTTTGTCGTGAATAGACAGAAACAGCTTTTTTTTTCTTTGGTAAAACACGAGGAATGTAAAATAAACATGTAAATTATAAAATACATTATTTTGATATATTTAACCTATTTAATTCTCAGGTATATGTTGATGTTACTGCGTAATATAAGTCTCAATAAATACATTTCTTAAAATGTGCTGTGTATTTTGATTGTATTTCTGGGTTTACTGTGAGTGCTTTAAATATTTTCCGACTCTAAAAGACTTTGCACCATAAAACTATAAAAGTTGGTACAAGGAAAAGTTCCTATAGTCATTGCTCTGAACTCCAGGTCTGTTTCAGGACCACAGTATTATTTGAGGTTGAAGGCATCCATGAAGTTTTACAGTTTATAATATGTTAAATATGGCTTTTGTAGTGAACACTTAGAGGCCCCAAACATTTACATTTCAGCAGCAATAGGCAACTTTCAGTTCTTTTTTTAACCCTTTTAAGTGTTTTTCTTCTCCAAAATGATTGGACCAAACAGCCGAAACTATTTATGAAGCATGTGTAGAATTCTGTATCTACCTAGATATATTGTCACGGTGTGTGAAGCAGGTAGGACCCAAATGCAGAATAAAGTGACAATTCCTTTATTTCAAGGCTAGGTGATAACAACGACAAAACAGAACACTCACCGACGAACTAGTCATGACAAAAGACAAACCGACAAAGACAGACAGAAAAACCAGAACTTAAATACACACAAGACTAATCACAGAAACAAGACACAGGTGAGGAGGGAGGAGAAAACACAGGGACACCAGGTGAACACAATCGGGTAAATTAGACACACCAGGGGGGAAACTAAGGACCGGGAACCACAGACAGATTTAAACAAGACACAACGCAGACAGAAACAGGCAAGACAGGAAGTGAAGACCTTTCAACATAAAAAATGAAACAAGACAAGACAAAACACCATAAAGACAGATCGTGACAGTACCCCCACCTCAAGGGACGGATCCCAGACGTCCCAAAAAACCCCCACAAAAGTCCAAAACCTCAAGCAGGGTGGGTGGAGGGGGTCCGGAGGAGGGACGTATCACTAGGCCACCAGGGTGGGTGGAGGGGGTCAGGAGGACGGGACTGAGCTGACCGCCCAGAGGCACAGCAGAGGACCAGGAAGGGATCTCGGGCGGACGGCCCGGGGGCAAGGCAAAGTTCAAAAAGGGGGATTCGGGCGGACGGCCCGGGGGCAAGGCAGAGTCTAAGGTGGGGGACTCGGGCGGCCGAGCATGAGGGCGAAGGCAGCGGCAGGAAGAGTCAGGGGGCCGGGCTCGAGGACGAGGGCAGCGGCAGGAAGAGTCAGGGGGCCGGGCTCGAGGACGAGGACCACGGCTCACAGAGGGCCGGGATCGAGGGCGAAGACCGCGGCTCTCAGGGGGCCGGGCTAGAGGGCGAAGACCACGGCTCACAGAGGAACGGGATCGAGGGCGAAGACCGCGGCTCTCAGGGGGCCAGGCTCGAGGGCGAAGACCGCGGCTCTCAGGGGGCCGGGTTCGAGGGCGAAGACCGCGGCTCTCAGGGGGCCGGGATCGAGAGGGAAGACCGCGGCTCTCAGGGGGCCGGGATCGAGAGGGAAGACCGCGGCTCTCAGGGGGCCGGGATCGAGGGCGAAGACCAGAGAGCTCCGGAGGCCAGGCAGGAAGGCGCTGACGGGCCAGCGCCGGAGGCCGGGCAGGACCCGGTGTCGGCCGGACAGGAACCGGAGCTGGTGGGACAGGCCTCGGCAGGATCCCCCACGGAAGAGGACCAGGACACGGGATTGGCAGGACCCCCGGCGAGACAGAGGATGGCGGGGCCTCCAACGGAACAGGACAAGGGGTTGGTAGGACCCCCGGCAGGAGAGTAGTCGGCGGGGCCTCCAAAGGCACAGGACAAAGGGTTGGCAGGACCCCCGGCAGGAGAGTAGTCGGCGGGGCCTCTAACGGCACAGGACAAAGGGTTGGCAGGACCCCCGGCAGGAGAGTAGACGGCGGGACCTCCAACGAGACAGGACAAAGGGTTGGCAGGACCCCTGGCAGGAGAGTAGACGGCGGGACCTCCAACGGGACAGGACAATGGGTTGGCAGGACCCCCGGCAGGAGAGTAGACGGCGGGACCTCCAACGAGACAGGACAAAGGGTTGGCAGGACCCCTGGCAGGAGAGTAGACGGCGGGACCTCCAACGGGACAGGACAATGGGTTGGCAGGACCCCCGGCAGGAGAGTAGTCGGCGGGGCCTCCAACGGCACAGGACAAAGGGTTGGCAGGACCCCCGGCAGGAGAGTAGACGGCGGGACCTCCAACGGGACAGACATACGATTGGTAGGACCCCCGGCAGAGGCGTAATCGACGGGGCCTCCAACAGGACAGGACATGGAGTTGGCAGGACCCCCAGCGGAACCTCCAACGGACCAGGACATTGGGTAGGGACTTGAGACGTGACTCGAGAGGGGACTCGAGAGGAGACTCGAGAGGGGAACTAGAGAGGGGACTCGAGAGGGGAACTAGAGGAGGGACTAGAGGAGGGAACTCGCAAGGGGAACTAGAGAGGGGACTGGAGAGGGGACTGGAGAGGGGACCTGAGAGGGAACTGGAGAGGGGACTCGAGAAGGGACTCGAGAGGGGACTCGAGAGGGGAATCGGGTAGGAACTGGAGAGGGGACTCCGGTAGGAACTTGAGAGGGGACTCGGGTAGGAACTTGAGAGGGGACTCGGGTAGGAACTTGAGAGGGGACTCGGGTAGGAACTTGAGAGGGGACTCGGGTAGGAACTTGAGAGGGGACTCGAGAGGGGACTTGAGTCGGTCGGTACGCCGACAGGACACGGGGAGCTGGCGTCGTCTGGGGAGCCAGCAGGAGATGAGGTGCTGGAGTCGGCCGGTACGCCGACAAGACTCGGGGAGCCGGCGTCGGCTGGGGAGCCAGCAGGAGACGAAGTGCTGGAGTCAGTCGGTACGCCGACTGGACACGGGGAGCTGGCGTCGTCTGGGGAGCCAGCAGGAGACGAGGTGCTGGAGTCGGCCGGTACGCCGACAAGACTCAGGGAGCCGGCGTCGGCTGGGGAGCCAGCAGGAGACGAGGTGCTGGAGTCGGCCGGTACGCCGACAAGACTCGGGGAGCTGGCGTCGGCTGGAGAGCCAGCAGGAGACGAGGTGCTGGAGTCGGGACCATGACTGCTGGAGCCGGTACTTGAGCCGGAACCATGGCTGGAACTGGGGCCGGAACCATGGCTGCTGGGCCCGGTACTTGAGCCAGAATCATGGCTGGAACTGGGGCCGGAACCATGGCTGTATGGGCCAGCTCTGGTGCAGGGACCACGGTTGTAAGATCCAGTTCTGGAGCCGGAAACATGGCTGTAAGGTCCGGAGCTGAAGCCTGGATCATGGCTGTGTGGGCCGGTTTTGGAGCCGGAAACATGGCTGCTGGGGCCGGCACTGGAGCCGGAACCATGGCTGCTGGGCAAGGAACCGGAACACGGATCCATGGCTGTGTGGGGTGGTACTGGAGCACGGTACCATGGCTATGTGGGATGGTACTGGAGCACGGAACCATGGCTGCTGGGGCCTGTACTGGAGCCGGAACCATGGCTGCTGGGGCTCGGGCTGCTAACCTGGCCTTGCGACGACTCCTCTTAGCAGCCTCCTGAACACTCCGTGGACCTCCATAAGCCTGACGAGTTCCGGAATACGACTCCTGGACAGGAGCAGTAACTGGGGCAGAAGCACGGGTTGACTTCAGGCGGAACCCACCAAGGCGTATGGTGCCAGGTTGGGAATTGGGAGACAGGGAGCTAGCATGCCTGGAATCACATGCTTGAAGGAAGCCCAAAATCCAGTCAGGTAAAAACTCAACAAAACATGGTTTCTCTGCTGCCAACCGGAGCGCCTCTACCAGAGTGGCCCTCTTCTGCCAAACACTGGACGCTCCCTTCCACCAATCGAAGCAGCAAGCCAGATAGAAGGTTAAATGCTGTAATTCAACCTCCCATGGATCATCTGGTGGGTCCATTTTGTGGTCGGTTCATTCTGTCACGGTGTGTGAAGCAGGTAGGACCCAAATGCAGAATAAAGTGACAATTCCTTTATTTCAAGGCTAGGTGATAACAACGACAAAACAGAACACTCACCGACGAACTAGTCATGACAAAAGACGAACCGACAAAGACAGACAGAAAAACCAGAACTTAAATACACACAAGACTAATCACAGAAACAAGACACAGGTGAGGAGGGAGGAGAAAACACAGGGACACCAGGTGAACACAATCGGGTAAATTAGACACACCAGGGGGGAAACTAACGACCGGGAACCACAGACAGATTTAAACAAGACACAACGCAGACAGAAACAGGCAAGACAGGAAGTGAAGACCTTTCAACATAAAACATGAAACAAGACAAGACAAAACACCATAAAGACAGATCGTGACATATATATAGTTAACTTGTTCTGCAAAACCTATTAAGAAATGAATTGATCCTGTGATGAGATATGCCTGCAGGCCAGAATAAAACACCTAATGGCTGTAGCTCCTGGCATACATAAAAGCCATTTGTTGTACTATTACATAACTTACAATGTGGACATTTAGCCTTTCTAGAGTTGTTAAGGCTTTCGCCAGATATTGTTATTGATATCTAATAATGTAATGATGGTCCTTGATATCAGCTGGTTAAAATGGCACAGATATAAATAATTGTCTAACTGTGACATAAACAAATGACTGATGTGAATTTAAATATTTAAATAACTTTTTCTAATCTGTATGATGTGATGTAAAAAGTTTGCAAGTAATAGTATAGTAAATAGTAAAAAGCAGACATGTGTGATCAACTGACCCACTGATGGCTTATGCAAATTCATGTTGTTCATCTCGGAACAATGTGTCTCCCTCTAGTGGCATCAGTGTTTACAACATCAAGTTTATACACTCTTCAAATACTTTTTATTATTATAATTTCAATGATAACTTTCAGCCTCCTGTTGGGCCACTTGATCCGACAACAGACAAAACATCAGATTGATAACATGATAATGTGATGGTAAAATACATGCATTTCTTTTTCAGTAGTGGATCCATGTTCCATGTACGGAAAATCACCCC